GGAAGGGGGGCTGCCGGCCAGGAATGGACAGTCCAGTTAGGGAAGTTCAGGAAGGAAGGACACAGCCCCACACCTCTTCCTCTGCCCAGGCCTCACACAGCACCCCCTGTTCTTTCCATGGCAGCCCAGAGCTGGCCCCCACCTGCCTGCAGGGGTTGGGGGCTGTGAGTGTCTCCCTGTGCCTTCAGCAGTGGCTGTACCAGAGGCCTTGGGTCTTCCTTGGGAGGCCCTGCTCTGCCCAGCCCTCGAGTCTCCGCCTGTCATCCCCACCCCCCCAGCCTCGGCTGCAGGATGCCTTGCGTCCAACTGTGGTTTCCGGGCAATAAAACAACTATTAAAGTCTCAGGCACGGCTGGTGATTTGCATCACATCCTCTTGTGCATGGATTCAATATTTAATACACAATATTGAATACGGATATTAAAAATCAATAGCTGGGGACCCCTGGGGAGGAGGCACAGTGCGATCCTGCTTCGGGAACACAACCAGCTCCTCTAAAAAGACAGGAACGGCAAGTTCAGCCAAGCTGAGCCAGGCGCCAGGGGAAGTGAGGAGTAGTAGATGTGTCTCAGCTTCCTGATATGCTTAACGGCGCTATTCTGAAGTCGAGCTAAAGGGAAGCCAAGGAATGGAATGCCCCTAGGCCTCACTAGTTACCCAGATTGGGAAGGTGGGTAGGAAGGTATGTTTTATTTCCAGGCAGGCAACCAGCCAGGTGTATGGAGTTACTTTTTTTGTTGCTATCTGCACCTTGGTTTGGTTCAGGTCTGATCCTTGCGTGCAGGCACTCAGCTTTTCCCACCACCATGGCTACTTCCCCGGGGCCTTACAACATCCATCACCATGGGCCCCATGGGGTGCTCTTGGCATAAGCTTTCAGGGAGCTGGAGCAGGAATCCCAGTCGCTCAGAATACTTTTTGCTCCATAAAAGAAATGCAAATACCTGACCTGCAGGGTCTTCAGAGGTACACTCAGCCTTGGATACTGGAAGCTCAGGCCTGGGGATGGTTGCGGGGATGGTGACATAGGGAAGGGAGTGAGAAGGAGGTTGGGACATGGAAGTAATGCTGCTCCAGAGCCAGAATTTAGATTGTCTGTTAAACAGCCAGGAGATGAGCAAGCTCCTGGGATACATAATTATCTTTTGAGGCCTGAAGAGGAACACAAATTATTCTCTTCTTTATCAAAATATAGATATATAGTTTGCCCTAAACAGAATAAGTTTCCTGGAGCCTGATGGGGTGGGAGTGAAGGAGAATAAACATCCTTTTGAGGGGTCTCTTCCTTTTCTGCCACAGAAACAGAAAAGGAACAAACAATGGGAGACGCCCGCAGGTTATCGGAGTGGAAGAGCTGGGAGCATAAACTTGGTGAAAATACTGGATGAACTTGACCCACTGAAGTGTCATCCCAGGCACCAAATTATTATATTAGCTTTATACATCTCCTTTCTATTATAGCTTAAAGCAGTGTGGATTGAGTGGGAACTCTTGCTCCGACTACCAATGGATTGGAAAGGTATCTCAGGAAGACCTCAGAGTACTCATTTGAGTAAGAGTTAGAAGTGAAGAAGAGGGGGACTTGGAAATGACAAGTGATGAGCCCATAGCCTCCACTCTGTTCGCTAACAGTTGTCAGAGAACCCATCAAAGGGAGCAAAGGACTAGGCACCCTTTTCAGAACTGGCACGTGGAAAGCAGCCACTTTGGCTGCTGCCGATGCCCTGGTGGTGGTTCCTACACTTGGCCTCCTGGAAGCTCACCTGCCAATATTTACTCATGTCCAGACTGGGGGTGCAGTTTTACAACATTGGGCCCTCGGCCTGTGAAACCCAGTGGCAAGAGTCCTAAGCAGAGCAAAAGATGTCCTCAGTCTATCAAACTGCATCCCTTCCCATGTCCACCACAGGTCAAGCTCTGGGCCTCCTGCCGCCCCACACAGACCTGACAGCTTTCTGACTGGACAGTTTGCCTGTAGCACAAAGGTGCAGGCAGGTAGACTGTGGCTGGCATGGAGGTGAACCACCACCACAACCACCATCCAGCTTGGGGAAGCTGTGTGGCCCCCAGAACCCACTAAGGGTGCCACGCCTTCCCAGACCCACCTGGTACTTAACCAAGAGGGAAAGCAGCCTTCTAGAGCTTGGATGGGCTTCACCCAAGGAGCAGGAGAGCCTAGCTTCAAGAAGGATTTATACACCAAGTCTCCAATCCCTATGAGCAGGCTGGAAATGGGGATAGGGCAGGAGGGACTGGGTATCTTTTTGCTTCCCACCACCCCATCCTTCTGTAATGTTTTCCTGGAAAGAACTGAAGTCGCCAGCAGAGTCGTTCCCCTAGACTGTCACCACCTCTTAGTGTAAGGCAGAGAGGACCGAGGCTTTCCACTGGGAGGAACCCTGAATGGGATCAGGAGCCTCGGATCCTGGCTCAAAGCCTCACAGTTCCGATAAGACGCTACCTCCCCACTCATACCCTGCAGAAAAATCCCCCTTGGAACTGTTGGGGTGAAGTTGGAGCCTGAGCCCAGGGTCAGCAGAGGGACTGTCCCCACCACCACCAAGTTGCGGCCGAGATAACGGCTGTGGGAGGGGCAGGGGAGCCGCAGGCAGCCACGACTGAACGGTTGCGATCTAGAAAATTCAACAAGAGGCCGCCGCGGTGGCGGCGGCTCCAATTAGCTGAGCCAACTGGGAAGGCAGAGAGCGAGGCGGCGGCCCTGCAGATCGTGCCCGGGGCGAGCAGGCAGGCGGGGGCGCGGGGCCTCGGAGCTGCCCGAGCAGCCCTCCTCTGGCCCCTCCCGCCGGCTCTCGGAGCGCGCCTGGTGTTTACACACTGTCCTTCCGACACGGGATCAAGTTTCAGGCCGCGCTGGAGGCGCCGGGGCGGGCCACAGGCCGGGGAGAGGGGAAGAGCTGGAGCGGGATCTAAGGCAGCGGTGCGCCGGCGAGAAGGCCCGGCGCGCGTGGGCACAGCTATAGCAGCGCTCTGCCCGAGGCAGGATGGCGAGAAGTCCACCGGGCAGGGTGGCAGGAGCTGGTGGGACTGCGGGGCACTATCCAGAGGGAGAAACACCTCCGAGTCGCAAGAACGAGGGAGGTCCTGCCTTCACCGGGGTTGGAGGACTCACCCCTCGCACGGCCCAAGCGTTACGCTCAGAACCCGGGCGCGAGCACTGCCGCGGGCTTCCCCAGTGAGCTCTGCACCCCTCCCCCGTCCCTTTGATATGCTACCCTACCCATTGTTAGGGGCGAAGGGTGTGTGGCTGGAGGAGCAACTCCTCATTGGAGACCTCGAGCTGCCCCCCGCGCGCGCCTTGGCCCCAGCGCGGCGGAGGCCTCAGGCCCAGGGCCGAGGACTCGCCGCTGCGCACCTCCTCTGAGCTGGCAGCCCGCGGGGACCCCACGCTGTCAAGCGGCGGCTAGTGAGCTTCCAGCAGCAGAGGCACACTGTAAACAGCCGCGTGCGCGCCCTCCCAGCCAGGGCTGGGAACCTCACCCAAACACCGTGTCTCCTCTCGCGCTCCAGGGTCAGGGTTCTGGGGCCGAGCCAGAGGAAAGAGCCCCCACCCCGCCCCCAGGCCACCTGGGTCCCGAAGCGAGTGCTCTGAACCTGCCGGGGTGCGGAGTGCTTCGGGAAGGGGAGAGAGTCGGTGCCTGCCCCCTCCCCACTGAATGTCTGCTTTGTTCTGGAAAACAAGGGAAGCATTAGGCTGCTGCTCCCGGGAAACACAAAACTTCTTTTTGAATCTCGGGAAGGGCGGCTGACTGCGTTACGGAGCTCCGGAGACATACAGAGGAAGGGCAAAGCCGAGAGGGCGGGAAGAGACAGGGAGACTTCCGACAGAGGCCGACGGACAAAGTGAGGGAAAGCCGCTCAGGGTGACCGGGCGAAGACTCGGGAACCCGACTCGGCGCGAAGGTGCTGCGCAAGTTCCAGCGAGCAGCCGGCCCAGCCAAGTGGCGCCTGCCCAGCCGGCGGCCGTGCCAGCTTCCTGCCCTGCCCAGGACCGCGGAGCAGTCGGGGACGCCGCCGCAGGCTGGCCCGGAATCACCGGACGACAGCGTGGGGGAGGGGGGCCCGAGGCAGCAAGTAAACCCCAACTAGAGCTTTCGAACACACCGACCCCACCCACTCCAGTGGGCCGGGACTTGGGGTCTGTGGGGCGTCGGCTCTGGGCTTTATCCTGGTGTGTGTGTATGGAGGGCAAAGGCCCAGGGAGTTAACCAGCGCGGAGGGTGGGCAGTCTGATGTCCTTGGTCTCATTTGATCACCGCCTGTCCCATGGGCTCCCACCCTGGCTCAGTCGAGCCAAGGGTGCCAGGTCAGTGTTCCTTGGCAGGCAAGTGCAGGCAAGGGGACGAGGGAAAGCAAATTTGCTATCACACCCCCAACTACCACCCACCACTTAGCCTCCCTGCGCCCAAGGAAGAGGAGAGCACCTAGCCTGTGCTCCATCCCCCACGGGGCGCTTCCCTCCGTCTCGGAAGCTCAGACTTCGAGCGAGGGTTTTTCCCCCTTTCCCCAGGGCTGGCTGGATCTCTAACTTCCTCTAAATCTCCCTCCACGCTCCGAAAAGGCCCAAGGAGAGGAGCCGAGAGGAAGCACGCAGCTAGTGTGCGAAATGAAGACCATGTGTGAGGATGGCGGCACCAGAGTGCAGCCGCGGGGGAAGGGGGTGGCGAAGGCCCCCGCGAGGCCCGAGGCTCCGGGTCGCAGCAGCCAGCGCCTCGGCTCGGCGTTGGGGACGCGGAGCCGCGGCGAGAGGCAGTGGAGAGGCTGCTGGCCTAGCCTCGTGGCGGGCGGCGAGGAGGGGGTGAGGGAGCTG